ATGCTAAGGAGCAAGGGCTTCTGGACTGCAAGAGCCCTGGACTGCTGGCTTAGACCTGATCCCCAGGGCCTCTAATCTTGTTATATAAAGGAGAAAGGAAAGAGCTGTGGATGCTTCTAGATGAGATAAATTGAACTGTGAAAGTGATTACAATCTCCAGTGCTTCAGAGAGGAATGGGTGGGTATGTGTATAGAATATAAAGGTTAAACTACTGTTAGGATGGAACGACTGGAACAACTGGTTGCTATGATGCACACTGACCACCAGGGGCCAGACGCTCAACTCAGGAGCTGCCCCCTGCCTGCTGGCCAACCCTCCGGTCCCTCCCCGCAACTGGGCCCCGGGCTGGAACGAAGAACCAGGGGTGGATGGTGGCAGATGCGGGCAGTGAGGGAAGGAATGGGGGGAGGTGGAGAGGAGATAGGAGGCGGGGAACCACATGGTGGCTGCATGTGAGCAGCGAGGGGAGGTGGGGAACCTGATCGGCCCTGATCGCTAGCCATGCCTAGGGACCCCACCCATGCACGAATCCCATGCACCAGGCCTCTAGTCCACTGTATAAAGCCAAAGGGTGGACAGGATACAGTACAGAGTCTCAGCTATTTTTTCCAGGCAGCGGAGAGTATAGCACATGAGTACTAGAAAATAGTGTCTAGGGGTGGACAGCTAGGTTCAAATAGGGAGTAATTAAGGTTGGAGTCTGTGGTGGTTGTTAGTGTTACTAGCTTTTCTTTTTTTTAAAAAAATATGATTGGTCCTTTTATATAATTGCACTTTCTAACTCCTCTTGGCTGGGTCATTTGTAACTACTTCGTGCCATTGAATTAGGAGCAGAAATTTTGAGTGTCATGAGTTGCCTGTGTGAGGTCCTCCAAAACTTTTCTTACCTCTGGAACAGTGATTGGTCATGATTAGGATGACGACTGCTCTGACAGCTTGGGTTCCTGTGTGACTGTTTTATGCGGAGCACCCTTCTAGTGTTTGGTTGTTATATAGGATGGTCAAGAAATAGACCTTAGTTGTTTTAAGCTTCTGAGATTTGAGGGTTTTTATTATTGCAGCAATATGTGATCTGTATTGACTAATACAGATTTTTTTTTTTTGTTGGGTTTTGAGAACGACAAAACCATACATAGGATAGCAAGTGTGGATGTGTGTGTTTGGGGGTGGGAGGTGAGCTAGATTCCCCAAACCAAGGAGCCAGAAGCTTACCAAGGAGAGTCATTAGGAGTGTGAGCAAATCTAATGTCATCTTGGGACACAGGTGGAGAGAGGGGTTGAGGTCTTCCTGCCTCCTCTTCCCATGCAGAGAACTGACACACTAACACAAACACATACATACAATGTGGAGTATGTTTGGTCTACCCTTTGTCAGTGTGAAAACAGTAACTTAAAAATCAATGTAGAAAATAAATACAGTGCATAGAAAACCAGGATTTAGGAAAAATAACTATGTTGGGGGGTTTAAAGACTTTTTTTAGTACCACAGAAAGTAATATGTTTCCCTATCCCCTCCTCATCATACATGTTTACATTCACGTTTTTACATGCCCATGTGTGAATAATCACATAATATTTTAATCAGCCCTACTTGTGATAACAAGGCATTACCTCATGAGGCCTATCTGTATACAATATTTAAAACCTTCCTCTTCCTCTCCTCTCACACTCCTGATCGAACTAGTTCTTCCACTCCTCCATCCCTGCAGTACTTAGCATTTTATTTATTTATTTAATATGTTTTACTATTATTATTTTCCTCTATTCTCACCGGAATGCACATGCTAACAGAGAAAGGACATTTTTTATTCATTTTGTTGACTGACAACAGAGCCTGATACATAATAGTGTTTGTAATCTAATTATTTTAGTAATCTATGTCCACAGAATTTCCCAAATATTTACAGAGAGCCCATACACAGCATTCACCAGGGTGTGGATTTCTTCAGACATGATGGAAAAAGCAGATTATCTGGATTTTAAGTGATGGGTAGAAATTTAGTGGAAAGAACTGGGAAGAAGGGTAAAATTCCAGGATAAATGGATTGGAATTCTTTAGGTGTTACTGTTGTTTCAGTCTTGTGCATCTATTTTTTGCATGGTAGCACTTGAAGGTCTACATTCAAGGTTACCATTTGCCTGAAATTTTAAAAATTGATTCCTTTTGGAAGTGGTTTCTTTATTTGCAAACTAAAATGGTTTCTTAGTCTTGAAGTTGATCTCTGTTGATCACCCAATTTTTCCCCCCAATTTGTTTAGTTGAACTAGACATGAAGATTTTTATAGGCAATTTCAACTTATTTGACCTTTTTCTATTATTGATTTTTTTTTTTTTTTGAGAGTGAGGAAGGAAGAGGGATAGAGAGAGAGAAACAATAATCAGAGAGAGACATTGATCGCCTGCCTCCTGCATGCCCCCTACTGGGGACCGAGCCTGTAGCCCAGGCATGCGCCCTGACTGGTAATTGAACCAGGGACCTCTTGGTTCATGGTTTGATGCTCAACCACTGAGCTACTCTGGCTGGGCGTGATTTTTTATTTTTATTTTTTTAAATATAGTTACAACAGTTTTCTTTAGCTTTTAAAAATAATTTCATTTGTGTGTATTATAATGAACTATTATTTGCTTCAGTGCCATTATGTGCTTACCGCAGAGGTTGTCAGCCTCGGCTGCACACTGGAATCATTTGGAGAGCTGTGAAAATACCGATGCCTGGGCTCGACCTGCATCTGAGGTTTGGCCTTGGAACTGGATTTTTAAAAGCTCCTCAGGTGACTCAACTCCGAAGCCAAGCGTAAGAAACCATTGGCTTAAAGGATTTCGGACGTAACTGAAACATGCTTTCCACTGGGGAAAGTAGGTAGCCATGGCTTATCTGAGTGGTGTGATCAATCTGCCTTCTCAATCTCTTACTTAGAATACAGTGGACTGATTAGAATTGGGGTGGTAGAATGAAGTCCTTGACTTTGTTAAAGCACTTTTATTGTTAGTCACCAAACCATAAATGGAATTAAAGCATATGAATGGGTAGAATACTTTTAAGGCCTTTAAATTCCCGTGTGGACGGGGAAGGAATAATAGTTTTTGTTTTGAGCTCTATGCAAATTCAAGTCCTTTGGCTCATGATTTAAGTCAGACATGAACAAATACATTTTTAGAACCTGTAACAAATACTAATTTATTGTTAGTATAGGTAGGCAAACTTTGTTCTTAAACTCTTGTTGACTTTGTCACCTACTTTCAATGTAATAAGTACTCTGTTACCATCAGAAGGTCTTTGTTTACTCCAGTAACAAGATGTTGGACAAGGACTTGTAAACTCAAGTAGCTACCTCCCTGAGGTATCAGAGAGCTTCCAGAAGTAAATCAATCTGAACTTTAAAGTATTCCTAGCTTTTATTCTGAAAAGTAATCTAGCCTACTTCCAGCTTGGAATTTGGAGCTGAGGTCAGGTTAGGGATATTTACTGTAATTTCACTGTTTGTTTTGAAGTATTGTGAAGTTCCAGAACACACCATATTTGTAGTATGTACAGCAATAGGGCTGCAAATTTCTTTTACTTCTATGTGACCGACCGTATTAGTATGGTGTCTGAATACAGTGGGACTTAGTGAATTGGTGAATAGGATAATCAGAATTGTGTCCAAATCCTAGGTTTTCTATTTATTAGCTCTTACCTGATTTATTTAACTTATTAAGCTTTAGTTTCCATATCTGGAAAATTGGGGGAAATAATACCTAAGTTATTGAGTGTATATTATAATGAAATGTTTTAGATTTTTAATATAGTACCTGCCCAATGTTGGTCTGTAATAAATAATCTTTCTGTAGTTTTGAATTTGAATTATTCTAGAGAATTATTCTAGTAAAAGTGATACCTGAGAAAAAATTAAGTTCTAAATTTTCTTTAATGATGAATCTTATGAATAATGACTATTTGGGGTGATGTATAAAATCATATTTTATGTAGAAAATTTCTGAATTTTTAATAAACTATGGAATCTCCTGATAAAGATTTTGATACCTTTGTTTATCATGATAGGTTTTATACATTTTCATTATGTTTAGAGACATTTTACAAGAACTCATGATTCTTACAATATGAAAGGAGAATTTGGAAGGTGGATAGTACAGATTAGGCAGTATAATATAGTAAGGGCATAAATACCTAGATGCATATATACACAATGAAAATATAAGTGAAGCATAATATAGATCATGTTAAAGTATAGCCAAAGCAAATGAATTCTTTCATTAAAAAATGGTTATTTCATTCCTTTGTGTGCCCAGATAAGATGATCATAGTAATGACTCCTCCTGTTTTCTGACTTTCAAAATTGCTCTCATTTTTAAAGGCACAATTCAAATGTTGTCCATTTTATAGTCTACTTGCTCTCTTCCCCATCACACACCGCTTACAAAGGAATCACTTTTCTCTGCATTCTGTCAGCATGTGACCGCTGCCTGGCACTGTTTCATTGTAAACGCAGTTAAGTTTATGGCATTCGGTTGAAGGTTGCATGGGGTCCCACCAGCTTTGACATCAGAGAGATGTTAATTTTAATGTTTACTTGGTCACTTTCTTTGTAAGGATTTCGCCTTTCTGTGCTCAATTTTCTTACTGTGAGACAGATGGGGATAAAAGCTTCTACCTCATAGTGCTGTTGAAAGATTAGTAGTGTCAGTGGCCTGAGATAGTAAGTGTTCAGTAAATGGTAGTGAATATTGTTATTGTTGCCGTTGTCTGTGTATGGCATGTTATTTATTGTATGTAAATATAATATGTGACTTAAATAAAACCTCCTTCTCTAGACTGCACTTTTTAGGACAGGGAACCATCACTTGGCATTTTACATAAGGTTTAGTAAATTAACAAATACGTGTTGATTGAGTACATTAACTTTCACTTTTACTTGGATTTTAAAAATAGTATTGGTAGATAACACAAAATGTCATAAAAGTTGTTTTCTAAATCGCTTTGTTTTAAAATCCCTGCAGGTAACTTCTTTTCCCATAACTTCAGTGCCCTGAAACCCGAGTATTCCACCAAGATAATATGATAGGCACTCTCCGTGGTTTGGAGCCATATCCTATTTAGACGAATGCGGGCCTTCCAGAGGTCCTGAGAGCTTGGTACAGAGCACACACTGCTTGCTAGTTGGCGCGGCAATAATGCCATCTCTGCCTCAAGAAAGAGGTAAGCTGACTGATTTCATCACATCACAGAATACAGATTATAGATCATCACTGCTGGCTATTCATAACAATTAAAAATTGGGGATTCTTAAAGAACCAGAACTTAAAATTTTACATTTTTCGGGAGGGCATTTGTGTTCTCTGATATGGAATTTTTATTATTTCAATGATATTTGGTTGGTTTACGTTTCTCTTAAAGTTATTCAGGGGCCTTCTGCCTTGGATCTGCATACAGAGCTGCCTTTTCAAAGCACACTGAAAAGGAGAGTCAGAAAGAAGAAAAAGAAGGGAACAATTACAGCCAATGTTGCTGGGACAAAGTTTGAAATTGGTAGGTCTTCTCAATACCATGAGATTGTCATACCTGTTGGAAAGTCTAATTTGATGTTGAAAAAATGTAGAAATTCAGAGATACTCTTTTTTATGTAATGGATTTTTAAATGCCTTTTATAAAATTTTATTTTTTAATGAGATATTTATCATGTTGATAATCAAATAGAGCATCAGTGTAAATGAAAAACTTTAGTTATTATTTAGAATGGTTTTGATTAAACTCAATGTTAAAATCAAGCATAAAATAAGAACATTAAACAGATTAAAACGTTAAATAGAAATTGAACAGTTTAAATTTGAGATTTTTATTAAACAATGAGAACCTGAGAAAGAATAGAGTAAAAACATTTCTCTCATTTTTAAATAAATCTTTTGAAGATAATGTTGCTTTTTATTAATGAAATTCCAGTATTTCTGTCTAAAAAGTATCTGCAGTGTAGAGAGCAGATAAGAATTAATTGCTTGAAATTAAGATACTTTTGCCCAGCACTGCAAAACTCATTATGAATAACAAGCACTCAAATAATATTCTTCTGTTCTTAGTTATTTTGCATTAAAAGAGTTGAGGAAAATCATATGAACCTCAAGGATATTAAATTTTTTTTAGCCTTTATTAATATTTGAGAATCTCGTTTTCATTTACATTAATTCATCAAAGCTCAGCAACAATCAGTGAAATATTTCAGTGGGATTGAGGTCCCCCAACACTGTTCCAACCGGTGTTCCTCAGAGAGAACCGCGCTGAGCATGTTGGTGTGAGAGGACGAGATGTGACAGGTTCAGGGCTTCTCTGCAGCGATTTTTCAGAAGGAAAAAATGAGAGTGAGGTGGTCTTTGTAAAAGTGAGTGATGGTCCCACTGGTGTGGCTCAGTGGTTGAGCGTTGACCTACGGAGCAGGACTTGGCGGTGGGATTTCGGGGTCAGGGGACATGCCCCGGTTGTGGGCTCGATCCCCAGTGTGGGGCGTGTAGGAGGCAGCCGATTAATGATTCTCTCATCATTGATGTTTTATTTCTCTCTCTCTCTCTCCCTCGCCCTTCCTCTCTGAAATCAATAAAAGTATATTTTTAAAAAGTGATAGCTGGGTGGTGTTAACTCATCCTCTCACTGTGAAGGTCCTCATGGGGTTCATAAGGAACCTTGATTTAAAGGAGAGTGTTTAAATGAAGTTCCCTCTCACTTTCCTAGGGAGTGTTCAGAGGGCTGACATTGTGTTAGAGTTCTCCATACTGATTCTGGTTCCGCTCTCTCATCAAGGTCTTCCCAGTCATTCATTTCTGAGAGGCGCACACATGCGTCTCATGTCCTCAGGAACAGGTCTGCTCCTGAGCTGCTGGTCTGACCTCACTGTCTTCTGCCTGTGAGCCAGTTAAAGGGGTCTCCCAGGCTATGTCGCTATTGCCCTGGCCCTCCTTATGACCTCTAGCTCCTGAGCCCCAGGACGCCAGCTGCCTGGTGGTCTGTGGCAGATGAGAGAGGAACAGCCCTTTCCCTGACTTAGTTGTCACCTGGCCTTCAGACAGCCTGAGTTTCCCCAGGCCTCTCATGTCAAACAGCATCTTCAGCTCACAATCCCCTCCCCGACCTCATCCACCGCCCGTCACTGTCCTCTTTTATGCCTGTGTACTGGGCCCTGTTGCATAAACAGTTCTTTCTTTTCCTCAGCTGCGAAACAAACAAGTGTCCCCAGGATTTGAGACCAACAAGTGTTTGCTCATCAGTATCATACTGGAGCCAAATAAATTCAGACAATTGATTGCTTTGTACCATTTCTCCTCATATTGGATACCAGTAAAAGTAAAACTTTTACAAATAAGTATTTTGCTTACCTGTATTGTAGGCAAGAAGGAACTTGAAATTTATTGGAAGAAAAATGTCAATATGTTAATTATAATATCTAAATCAGAGAAGAGTCCATAACTAGTTTGTACTAACAAACAAGGTTTCCTCTGAGCACAAATCTCTTTTTCGGTAAGATTAGAGGGTTTGTAGATAGGAGAGAGCCAGTTTCGGAATCTGTGCAGTGAATTCTGCTTTTTTATTTTGCATCCTGAGTCAACATGCTGACTTGGTTTTAATTGCTAAAAATAATGGGAACTAGGGGAGGTGGAAAGTAGGTCTAATGATCTAATGACCAGGGGCTATTTTTCCCTTTTCCCTTTTGTACCCAGCCCAAGGTCATGAAAAAGCCAGGAAAGTACATTTTGCTGATAGAGGTGTTGTCTCAGCTGTGCATATGTTCTTGTGCTGTGAATAATCACTGAGCTCTTTAGCAGTGTTGTGTCCCTGTTAAATCTCTGAGGATTTTGGGTGCAATCTAAAAACAGTTCTCAGTTACTGCTGAGCATAATTTGGCCCTAGAGAAATTGTTATAACTCAAAACAAGGTTAGGCTATAACTAATGGAGATTTTGCCAACAAAGCACTTTGAGCTAAAATTTGTACGTATCAAAATATGTTTCCCCATTGGATATGTTTCAGAAGTATTTTAATTTTGGTTTAACTTAACCTTTTACTTGCAGTTCGTTTAGTAATAGATGAAATGGGATTTATGAAAACTTCAGACGAGGATGAAACGAGTAACCTGATATGGTGTGATGCCGCAGTTAAGCAGGAGAAGATTGCAGAGCTGCAAAACTACCAGGTGGGGAGTTAGCCATGGCCCATCAGTGGCCATGAGGAAAGTTACATGCATTCCCTCATAGCTTTCTTTAGATAGGGTTCTTGCTATATTGACAATCTCACCTGAATAGCCTGTTGTGTTGCCGTGCAGTACTGACTTTGCATGAAGTCTGCATCCTTTCAGATGTAACTTGTAACCTCTCTGCATCTTTAAGTAAGAGTTGATAGAAGAAAACCTTTATTAAACTGGTGCTTTGCATTATGTTTAAAGATGAGTCATGTGGAATAGATGGCCTAGCGCGATCATGACATGGCCGTTCCATGGCCGTTATACACTTGGCTTCATTTTTTTATTTTCAGGATGTGATACAAACATATTAAAAAAGTCAAATGCATGGAATTTTAGACAGTTCACATTTTATGCAGTTCTTCTTCCATTAGTATAGAGGGTAACACAGAATTTACTGCAGGAAAAAGAATAAGTCCATTTTCACTAGTTTTTCTACAATGCTTATCTGTATGACTATAGTAAATTTAGAATGTAAAAGATAATTTAGGTAATTAATTACCAGTTATTCAACACCAAAAATTGTAACTTTAATGTCATTATAAACACCCTTTTTTGATTTCTTTAAAATTGTGCAATTTTTATTCTCTATATAATCAATTACTATAGATTTTTTAATTCATTATAGGTCATTTAACTTAAATATTTTACATTAATAATTGTCAGTTTATTAAAACATGAAAACTTAAAAGATGGTGGTAACTGTATTTAGTATAAATGACTATATTCATTAAGTCAATGAGGATATTAATATTTACCTTTTTATTTTCCAGAGGATCAACCATTTTCCAGGAATGGGGGAGATCTGTAGGAAAGATTTCTTAGCAAGAAATATGACCAAGTAATCTTCATTTTCTTATCATAGAATAAACCTGTTATAAATTTACATTTTGAATATTAGAGTGCTATCTTTTACAAAGGTACATTGATTTAAAATGATACTTTGATTGAAGAGAGAGAATTTTAGATCTAGAAGGGTCTGAAAAGTTCTCTGGTTCTATTTCTGCACTTTGCCGAGGAGGTAACTGAGGGTCAGAGAAATACCTTGCACAAAGTCAACACATAGTTGGTAGCAGAGCTAGAGCAGAATCTTGGGTTCTAGAATCTCAGGGTTCCTTTTACTGTTTATTCAATATGTTCTTATTTATTTTCAGTTAAACCTTGCAGGATCTAATATGTTGTATTATGGTGTGTGTGCATCTGTGTATTCACATATTGGTTACTGAGCATCTGATATGTGCCAGGCACTGTAGTAGGTGCATGTGTGCGTGTACATACACATAGGCCACATATACACAGAGTGGGGCAAACATAAGTTTACAGTTGTGAGTTTGTGAAACACCGTTCATTCTTGCATTGTTATTTATTGTATTTTTCCATATGAAATATTATAAACCTCAATTGTAAACCTACTTTTGCCCCACACCGTACATGCCCACCAGGGATATACATGCACATACATTTATTTCTGAGGCCACTGTTTAGAGCAGGGGTGGGCAAACTTTTTGACTCGAGGGCCACAATGGGTTCTTAAACTGGACCGGAGGGCCGGAACAAAAGCATGGATGGAGTGTTTGTGTGAACTAGTATAAATTCAAAGTAAACATCATTACATAAAAGGGTACGGTCTTTTTTTTTTTTTTTTTTTAGTTTTATTCATTTCAAATGGGCCGGATCTGGCCCGCGGGCCGTAGTTTGCCCACGGCTGGTTTAGAGGAACAATCTGCTTTCATGGGAAAAACAGTTCACAGGTACTCAAGTACCGAATGAATTGTAGAATTTTTATGCAGTTTATATCTCTACTGATAAGATTAGTTTAAGAAACTTGAGTGATAAATTGAGAAAATTTTTAAGAGATATCTTTCACAGAGAAAGGTTAGTAAAATTGTGTGTACAATTAACGAAAATCTGTATGTATCCAAGTGAAAGTTTATACATCCATTCACTCAACAGATATTTTTGAATGTTTATTTTTTTCCCCTAGAGACTGTTAACTGTGAGGTAAACAAGATAAATAAGGCCTAGTCCTTCCCTAGAACTCACATTTTAGTAAGGGAGGAAGACCGACACGTACAGTACAGTTTTATGGTGCCGCGTTAGAGGTAGAGTCAAAGGCTCGTGGCGACCAAGATAGTGGGAGAGATTATTTTTGAGCAGGCAGGGAAGGCTTTCTGGCGGAGTGAAACTGAGATGGATATTGAAAAGTGTATAGGAATTAAATGTTTATCTTGAGTATTTGTGTGCTTTAATTTTTTCCAAGTTTATATGTGAAAGAATGTTATTCATAAATACTACATGGTTAATTTAAAACTATATTGTTCTAATTAAAGCTTTAACTTGATCTGATTTTATATCATTATTAAAAATATAATACACAGCGTGGCTGCTGTTGCTCAGTGGTTGAGCATTGACTCATGAACCATAAGGTCATGGTTCGATTCCCAGTTAGGGCACATGCCCAGATTGTGAGCTCGACCTTCAGTGGGAGGGGTATGTGTGTGCAGGAGGCAGCCGATCAATGATTCTCATCATTGATGTTTCTATCTCTCTCTCCCTCTCCTTTCCTCTATCTGAAATCAATAAATAATGTACTGAGATTATTTAGCTTATTGGCTTATTCTGGGCTTGACACATGGAGTTGGTAATTACATTCTTTTTCTTAATAAAAACATAACTTTCTTACAGGGTTCTCTTGAAAGAACACTTGAAATATGGTAACTGTATGAACCTCCAGTTGTATTTAGTCCTACCTCTTTGCATACTATATACTGTTAGTATGGTTTCATTTTAGTTTCTACTAATTTTATTTGGGGACAATATCTGCTACATTATTTGCTCACCTATTAAAAGACTTGCATACATTTATTAAAAAGACATTTTTGAAACAATCAGATTTTCTTTAATATAAAATACTTTAAAATATTTCTCTTAATTTATTTTTATTGGGAATCAATATATACAAAACGGTTAACATCTGGGATTTATCAAAAGTAAACCTTTAGCCCTGTACGGTGTTTCACAGTGGTTAGAGCATCAGCCTATGCACTGAAGAGTTGTGGGTTTGATTCCCAGTCAAGGGTATGTACCTGGGTTGCAAGTTCGATCCATGGCCCTATTGGGTGCAGGAGGCAACCAGTCAATGTGTTTCTTTCACATCAATGTTTCTCTATCTCTACCTCCCTTCATCTCTTACTCTTCCCCCCTTCCACTCTCTCTAAAAAAATCAATGGAAAGAATATCCTTAGGTGACCATTAAAAACAACAAAGAAGTAAACATTTGATACTGAGTATTATCTTTAAGTTATGTATCAAATAAGCAGCCTGATCTGTAGCAAATACAAAAATACTAGGACATGCATTGTAGCCATAAAACCACATGTATAAGCACATATAGTTCATATAAAAAAACCCCTCTACTGACTAAAGGCTTCACATAGTTTTCTCAGAAAAGGAATTAATCCCCCCAAAACACCAGACTAAAAGGCAATCAGAACTGCTCCCTATAGGCGACCCAGAGGACTCAAAATCATCTTTAAAGAAGCAATATAAGTGGCACCTGGCCATGAGCTATTCCTACTGCCAATCCCCATTCCTGAGGAATAGTGACTTTTTCATGTTATATTGCTTTATATGCCTTTATTACCTCTATTACATTGTATTTAATTAATATCCTATATGTAAATTTCTTAGGAAAGAAACCATATTAACTTATATCCCCAGTGCCTGGCACATAGTATGTACTCAAATATATGATTGATTTACTAATAAGTAAATTAATACATAGGACAGAGAAGTGTGTCTATTTGTTTTTACTGATGTATCACCAGTGTCTAGAATAGTGCCTAGCACATGGTAGATGCTTAATAGACACTGCTGAATGAATCAATAGATGAATAGAGGGATTTAATAGTAAATGTCAGGATCACAGGAAGAAAATTTAGGAAAGTTTGAATAGAAATTACTTCTTATACTATCTCTAACTAACAGAATGATCAAGTCCCGGCCTCTGGATTATACCTTTATTCCTCGAACATGGATCTTCCCTGCTGAATATACTCAATTCCAGAACTACATGAAAGAATTGAAGAAAAAAAGGAAGCAGAAAACTTTTATAGTAAAACCAGCTAATGGGGCAATGGGTCATGGGTAGGTATTTTTCACCTGTAAATTATATCTATCTATCTATCTATCTAAAAGCCAAGTGACCGGAATGACCAGAAAGACCAGTTGTTATGATGTGCACTGTGGCCGGCCAACCTCCTGCGGGCCCTGCCCGATCTCCCCCCCCACCCCCACCTAATCAGGGACAGGGTCAGCCGGCCAACCTCCCGGTCCTCTCCCCTGAGCCGGCCAGAGCCCATCTGTGCACGAATTTGTGCATTGGACCTCTAGTGTATGTATGTGTGTGTGTGTATATATATATAGTTGGAGGGTGGGGGAATAAATGTGAGTATTCACTCATGGTTGAGTACTAATATGAAAAATATGATAAAATAGGATTCTAACCATTGCTGTTTTTGGAACTAAATATTTAATGAGTCCTTTCATTCTGTCCCACAGGCTTTAGTAATTTAATTTAAAAATCAAATAAACAGGTTGGAAGACCTTAATAGGAGACAATCTAATGGGGGGGGAAAAGATGTTTTCTATTTTTTAAACAAAATTTGCATTTGTAATAATTTTAGAGTAATCTTGGATACTACAGAGCTAAATTGACTTGGAGAGAGAAATGGGAAGGGAGTTACTTTTACATGTGTCTTCTTTGCTTTACAAATACATTTTTTCCTTTTATTAAATTTATTGGGGTGACACTGATTAACAAAATTATACAGGTCTCAGGCGCATAATTCAACAACTCATTACCTGTACACTGTATTGTGTGTTCACCACTTCAGGCCAAGTCTCTGTCCATCACCATTTATCCCCCCTATACCTTTCTCCATCTTTCCCAACTCGCCTCTCCCCTGCAATCACCACACTGTTATCCATGTCCATGAGTTTTTTCTCTTTTATGTTCAGTCCCTCCACCCTTTCAGCCTCCCCAAACCCCCTTCCCAGCTGTCAGCCTGCTCTCCAGCTATGAGTCTGTCTCTGTTTCGCTCATTTTTATCTCTGTACCCATGGTGATTGGATTGAAAATAAGTAGAACACATTAAGCTAAAATACCAAGAAGTAGATATGCTAGCTGAGAATAGATTATATAACTTTTATTTCTATCCTTTTGATTTCTTATGTCAGTTCTCTGCAATGTACTTTTAAAAAATGTAACTGAGTCTGCTTTTAATAAGAACTCATGAGTCATTTTAATCTTTTGTTTTAAATGCTTTGGGGAATAAAGGTTTTTTGGAATTGTAGCTATTCAACACATTTCCCTTTAATTTTCAATCACAATCTAGTCAGACATTATTTTTAACTGTGGTTTACTAGTTCAAAAAATAAACATGTAATATTAGTGGGAATTTTATGTTAATTGTTTAATGTAAAGTTGGTGCTCTATGTTAGTCTCAAAGAAAAAAATTTGGGGGCATAATTGAAGTTCACATTTTTTCTCAATTTTAATGTTAAAAATAATGTTTATATATATATACTTATATATGTATATATATATATATACTTAATGGTAAAACATTATACAGAAATATTAATCAGATTTGACAACAGTATAAAAAATAGCTGAAAAAGCACACTGAATGCAGTGAGCAGGTAAAGGACACCTCTGCCATCTGTGGAGGATATCCATTTCCTTGCTGATCTACTGTTTGATTGTCCTCTCCATTGCTGAAAGTGGGGTGTTGAAGACTCCAGTTGTTATTGTTGAACTATCTACACCTTTGAGTTCTATCAGTTTTGGCTTCATATATTTTGGAGCTCTGCTGGTAGGTGCATATATGTTTATAATTATTATGTCTTCTTGATGCATTGCCTTTAAAAAATCACTATGTACTGTTTTCTTTGTCTTTTGTAATAACTTTTATCTGAAAGTCTATTTTGGTTATTGTTTGCATGAAATATCTTTTCCATTTATTTACTTTCAACCTATTTGAGACTTGGAATCTAAAATCAATCTCTTGTAGACAAAATATAGTTTGATCATGTTTTTTTAAAATTCATTCTGCCAAATCTTTTTTTTTAATAAGAGAGTTAATCTATTTGTACTTAAATCATTATTGATAAGGAAAGATTTACTTCTACCATTTTGCTATTTGTTTTCTATGTCTTATATATAGTTTTCATTCCTTAATTCCTCCATTTCTGCCCTCTTACATATTAAATAATTTTCTAGTGTACCAATTTAACTTCCTTGTCATTTATTTAATTATATTTTTAATTTTTTAATGGTTACTTTGGGATTACAATTAACATCTCAATTTATAGCAGTCTTGTTTGGATTAATATCATTTTTCTTTCAATAGTAAAAAACAACAACAACAAAACACAAAAAAACCTTGATCTTATATAGCTCTGCTTCCTTTTATTGTCACAAAATACATTCTGTTCATTGTATATCCAATAATGTGGATTTATAATTATTGTTTTATGCAGTTGTGTTTTAAATAATATAGGAAAAATGAGGAGTCACAAACTTAAACTATACTAATAGTGACTTTTATATTTACCATGAATCACCATTAGTGGTGATCTTTATTTCTTTGTGTGTATTTGAGTTACTATCTAGTGTCCTTTTGTTTTGCCTGAAGGATTCGCTTTAGCATTTCTTGTAGGCCAGGTGTACTAGCAAAAAACTCCCTCAACTTCTGTTTATCTGGGAGTGTCTGAATTTCTTCTTTAATTTTCAATAGTTTTGCCAGCTATAGAATTCTTGGTAAAAAGTTCTTTTTTCTTTTTCTGTCAGGTCTTTGAATATGTCATTTCACTGTATTTTGGCCTCCAATGTTTCTGATAAGAACTAAGCTTTGTATGTTATTGAGGATTCCTCGGACATGATGAGTAGCTTTAATCTTGCTACTTTCAAGGCTCTTTGCCTTGGCTTTTGACCGTTTGATTGTGTGTCTCAGTGTGGATCTCTTTGAGTTTGTCCTACTTGGAGTTCATTGATCTTCTTGGAATTAAGATATCTTCAGCTATTAATTCTTCAAATATTCTTCTTACCCCTCTTTTTCTCTCCTCTTTATTTGAGACTCCCAGAATATGTATGCTAATATTCTTGTTTTTAAAAAATATATATTTTATTGATTTTTTGTAGAGAAGGAAGAGAGAGAGACAGAGAGTCAGAAACATCGATGAGAGAGAAACATCGATCAGTTCCCTCCTGCACACCCCCTACTGGGGATGTGCCCACAGCCAAGGTACATGGTTGATTGGAATCGAACCCGGGAACCTTCAGTCCTCAGGCCGACACTCTATCCACTGAGCCAAACCAGTTTCGGCAATGCTAATATTCTTGATTGTGAACTTTTAAACTCTGATTTTTCTTCATTTTTTTTTCTTTTTGTTCCTTAGACGAGTTAATCTTAACTGATCATCTTCAAGTTTTGCTTTTTTTTTGCATTCCTAAATATTCTGTTTAGCACCTCTAATGATTTTTTTATTGTTTTGTTATTGTACTTTTCAACTTCAGAATTTCTGTTTGAGTTCTCTCCCTTACCCTTTAAAAATAATTTCTATCTCTATTGATATTCTCAAGTTGGTGAGATAGCATTTTCATGATTTCCTTTAACTCTTTGAATAAATTTAAAATAGTTGATTTCAATAGTTGATTGTTCAGTAAGCTCAATGTCTGGGTTTTCTCAGAGACTTTATGTTAATTGATAATATTCATGTGTATGTATCATACTTTCTTTTTTCCTTTGCATGACTTATAATCTTTTTGTTAAAATTTGACATTTTTAATTCTATAATGTAGAAACTCAGAAATTCAGCTTCTCTATCTCTTTGAGATAACTCAAAATTATCAACTGGCAGTAGGTTTGTTGTTGTTATTGTTCATGCTTGTTGTAGTTGCTACTTATTTGCACAGTGGGTTTCCGAAATAATTTTGTAGAGTCTGTATTCTTTGTTGTGTGTGGCTACTCTTATTCTTGTTCTGTTAGGTCAGTGGTCAGCTACTAATTGGACAGAGATTTTCTTAAACATTTGGAAACCCCCCGTCCAAAAAATTTTGCCCAGTCTTTGCAGACGGATTATGTGTGTGTTTAAGTTTGAACAAGCCTTCTGTGTCCAACTAGGCAATTATATCTCTGCTCAGCCTTTATTTCTTACTTGTATAGAGCCCCCTGGTTAGCCAGAGCTAAGAGCTTAGGATCTTAAGATCCTGAGCAGGCACCTACCTTTGGGCATGGACATGGCCTTCTGGAGTCCTAGAAATATGTCAGAGCTTTTCAAAACCTATTCCTCAAAGATTCTCATTCCTCAGTCTTTCCCCCCAATCTTTTTAGTAGGTCTGTTGTTTCCTCCAGTGGTTAGGCAGCAGGGCCTAGTACATATGTCTTTAAATCTCCATAATTGCCTCCCTAAGTAGCTGCCTCAGCCTGGGGAGAGTTTCCACTTAGGCAAGATAAAAGCAACCCCTTTGAGGTCCTCCAGGGAGCCACTACACAGGTTGAAAAAACAAGGCCACCAAGAGACTATGCTCTATTCTGCTCCCTCTAGAATCAGTATCAGTACTGGAAACATGGGCTGCTGTCCAAGCCCACTGGTGAGCTGAGGGTAGAGAGTTGGTACCAGAGTAAGTTAAGCTGCCCCAAAGCTGTTTTATGTAGATTCAGCTGTGGTAATTTTTTTTTAAAATTTTATTTTTACTTATTTTTTGATTAAATGATCCCTAGTTGTTACAAGCTTTTGGTTAGTTTCCAGAATTCCAGAAAAGTTGATTCTGACAACTTTCTTATTTTTATTGTTTTGCAATTCACTGCTTTTGTGAAGGCACAGACTTTGGAGTTATCCATTCCTCAGTATTCTTCTTGAGTATTAGCTATAACTTTGCAAACATCTTGACTCCATATAAAATTGTTCTTTTGATTCTTTCTCTAAACTTAGGATTTCTTTGATAAGAAATGGTGACAAACTTCCATCCCAGGATCATTTGATTGTTCAAGAATACATCGACAAGCCTTTCCTAATGGAAGGCTACAAGTTTGATTTACGAATTTACATTCTGGTAACATCATGTGATCCACTAAAAATATTTCTCTACCACGATGGACTTGTGCGAATGGGAACAGAGAAGTACATTCCACCTAATGAGTCCAATTTGGTAAGTGATACCAAACAGATTCTATGATTTGATTCATAGATTCAACATGTACTTTTTAAAGAACCCATTGTGTCTAAAGGTTATATGAATGAAAGTTCCTCCTCTCAGGTTCTTAGAGTCTAGAACAGGGGTGGGGAACCCTTTTTCTGCCAAGGGCCATTTGGATATTTATAACATCATTCATGGGACATACAAAATTATCAACTTGAAAATTAGGTTGCTATATTTAGTCAAGCATTTAATTAACTCACCCCTAATGCCTTGGAAGGGTCAGACCAAATGATTTCACGAGCCCTATATGGCCCGCGGGCTGGACGTTCCCTACCACTGATCTAGAACAACCATTTTCAACTGATGTGCGCAAAAATTTTTAAAACATTCAGTACCTAGTCAGAGGTACTGTCCTTTTTGCCCTTAGATTATCAGATGAAAAAATGACAACAGGCAGCACAACAATAGCTTGTCCAGTTGTGAATGAATCAAAATTATACTTATTTTTTTGTCAGATTGGCAAGAAACGATATTTTTGTTGTGCTGCAGAATCTTAGTAATTAGTTTATATGTGCCATGAGATGAGAATGGTTGAAATCGTTCTGGTTTAGAATGATTGCATGTACAAACAGGACTACTTCCAACCTGTAGACAGCTTTGGGAAAAATGGAATATAAAAAGGTGTCCGCTCCAGGAATGCTAATCAGGAAAAGCCATCACCTCTGGGTGCTGTGGACACAAGGATGGATTTCTAAGCACATGTGTGTGTATGCAGTAGCCCTGGATAGAAATGATTTTTCTATAACTATAAATAAAAATATAAGATGCCACTAGGAAGTATAGATAGAATGTTTATGTAGTTGAGTACAAAATGGCTAGTTTGTATTCAGCTCCTCAAGGAGGAGGCTGTACTTGAACAGTGTTTATACCTTTGTATAAGAGGTTCGGTTTAAACATACAGAATGTGGGAGAAAGTATATGAAATAGGGGAAGCAAAAGATATCAGAAAATAGAGTTATTTATTTTTGTTGGACTAAAAGAGAACATTGTAAATTTACATTGACCAAATGTGAAGAAGAGACATAAATGGTCTGTTTCATTGTGATTTTTAAGTCTATTAAACTGTAATTTATTATTGTATTTTTTCATAAAGTAATAAACTATAACTTACAGTTTATATAAAACAAACTTTAATTTATTTTTTGTATGTATTGATTTATTATTAACTAAAAGTAAAAGTTTAGTTAACTTCTAACCATTTTTTAGAATTGTTTCCCCTTTGACAAAGGCCTGGTTACTGTTTATTCTAATATTATGCACATAATTAACTCTATTAAGAATGGTCATGTTTCTGCCCTAGCTAGAGTTCGATCCCTGGTCAGGGCACATATAAGAATCAACCAATGAATGCATAAATAAGTGGAACAACAAATCGATCTCTGTCTCTCTCTCTCTCCCCCCTCCCTTTATCTCTCCCTCTCCTTTTCTCTTTCTCTCTCTCTCAAAAAAAATAATAAAAAAGAATGGTTATATTTTCAAAATTCAATAATAAGGGCTGATCATAAATGTTACTATGTTCAATGAATTAAAAATTTTTGTAAACCTGGCAGAGGAAGAATAAGGGAACTGGTAGTAGGGGCTTCTTAAATATTGTTTAATAAATGAAAAAGTAAATTCTTAATTAGTGGTGAGCACATATAATTCAAATGAGGAGTTCTGCATATTTGCTTTAAAAATTTTAAGACTGTAGACCTAAGTAATGGCAGTGAAAAAAATGTGACATGAAGATACTTAGTTTTAACAAGCCAAAATACTAATCATGTTCATGAAGCATATATTCATTGTGATGCAACAATGCTACCTGAAGTCACCTCTAGGAGATGGATCATGAGAGTAGGATTTATAGACTTGATGAATGTTCATGGGAAATTGGAAGGAGCCAATCTTTTTCAAGTTTATTTGAGAAAAACACTCAGCAAACATCCTATCTAATAAAAGAGAAACATGATAATTAGCCATACATCCGCTACCGTTCCCATTGGCTAATCAGGGCGAGATGCAAATTAACTGCCAGCCAAGGTGGCGGCTGGCAGCCAGGCAGCTTGAAGTGAACATGAGGCTTGCTTGCTACAGTGACGTAGGACTCCAACATCCCCCGCCTGCCGCTGCCGGCCTCTGAGCTTGCAGTTTGAAACATTGTTACAAATATAGAAGCTAAGCAAAACCCCAGAAACCTGCTTTCAGCCAGCCGGGATCTCAGAGCTGGAGTTGAAACAGTGTTTCGATTATATAACCCAAACAAACCAGATACCTGCTTTCATCAGCTGAGGCCTCAGAGCTGGAGCCAAACCTCAGAGCTAAAGCTGGCCCAGAATAAAAAAAAAAAAGAAAAAAAGGAGCGGTTGGGAGCTTTAGTCACCTGCCAGCCTGAAAACAGCCCTCAGCCCCTTACCCAGACTGGCCAGGCACCCCAGTGGGGACCCCCCCCCTGATCCAGGACACCCTTCAGGGAAAACCAGCCGGCCCCACCTGTGCACCAGGCCTCTATCCTATATAGTAAAAGGGTAATATGCCTCCTAGCACCGGGATCAGTGGAGCCGTGAGGCCTCCTGGCACCGGGATCAGCCTGACAGGGGGCAGGCCCAAACCCCCTGATCGCCCTGGAGCTCTGTGTGTGACAGGGGGCGGGGCCACAACCTCCCTATCCTCCCTGCTCTGTTCGTGACATGGGATGGCGCCCCAATCCCCTGATCAGCCCTGCTCTGTGCCTGATATGGGAGAGGTCCCCAACCCCCTGATCACCCTGGGCTCTGTGTGTGACAGGGTGCAGAGCCCCACCCCCCACCCCCACCGGCCCTCCTCCGTGTGCGATGGGGTAGCGCCATAACCTCCCCACGAGCCCTGCCCTGAGTGTGACAGGGTGCGGGACCCCAACCCCCTGATCTGCCCTGCTCTGTGTGTGACAGGGGGGCGTGCCCCAACTCCCCTATCAACCCTACTCTGTGCATGATGGGAGGAGCTCCCCAACCCCCTTATCAGTCCTGCTCTGTGAGTGATGGTGGAAGTGCCCCAACCCTCTGATTGGCCCTGCTCTGTGCGTGACAGGGGTGGCGCCACAACCTCCCCCATTGACTCTGCCTTGAGTGTGACAGGGGACGGTGCCCCAACCCCCCAATTGGCCCTACCCTGAGCGTTACTGAGGGTGGCATCACAACCTCCCAATCTGCCCTGCTCTGTGCATGACAGGGGGTGGCGCCCCAACTCCCCAATCGGCCCTGCTCTGAGCCCGACCAGGGGCTGCACCTAGGCATTGGGCCTGCCCTCTGCCACCCAGGAGCAGGCCTAAGCTAGCAGGTTGTTATCTCCCGAGGGGTCCCAGACTGTGAGAAGGCACAGGCCAGGCTAAGGGCCCCCCCCTCCCCTCCGAGAGCACAAATTTTTTTGTACCAGGCCTCTAGTAAGGATATAAAGAGGCAAAGACAAAACAGCCCTAATATGGAGCATCATAAATGTGCTGTTGATCATTCAGACACTACAGCACTGCATGGGGAACAGCATTGTCTGCTGAGTGCACTCTATTCAGTGATGGCGAACCTATGACAAGTGTGTCAGAGGTGACAAGCGAACTCAATTTTTTGGGTGATTTTTCTTTGTTAAATGACATTTAAATATATAAAATAAATATCAAAAATATAAGTCTTTGTTTTACTATGGTTGCAAATATCAAAAAATTTCTATATGTGACAGGGCACAAATTTCTATATGTGAGAGAGTTAAGTTAGGGTTTTTCAAAATGCTGACACACCCAGCTCAAAAGGTTCGCCATCACTGCATCTATCTTGTTAATGAGTTACAGTGGCCTCTGCATAAGAATAGGGCAGAGGCTGTGTTTGCTAGTCTTGTCTTTTGGTTTATGCTACTTATTTGAGCTTTTATTTTTTAATGTTTCTTTGCAAAGGTTTAGAATGTTCTCTCAGAAAATTCATTTTCTAAACACAAATTTGAGTAAAAACTGTAAATGACTCCCTAACTGGTTTGGCTCAGTGGATAGAGCATCAGCCTGCAGACTGAAGGGTCCTGGGTTTGATTCTGGTCAAGGACATGTACCTTGATTGTGGGTACATCCCCAGTGGGAGTGTGCAGGAGGCGACTGGTTGATGTTTGTCATTCATCGATGTTTCTGGCTCTCTATCCCTCTCCCTTCCTCTCTGTAAAAAATCAATAAAATTAAAAAAAACA